CAAAGTTGAGCTGCACTGCTCGCGTCAGTTGGACAGGGATTTGTGAGGGATAAATCCTTAATCAATACTCCTAATAATCAATAGCTTGAGTGCTTAGTTTATATATTAGTGGGGTCCAAATTTAACCACCAAAAATGATTTGCTGTTCGCTAAAATCGTAACCTTGATACATACATACATATTTTTTTTTTTTTTTTTTAAAAAAAAGTATTTGCAGTATACTAATAAGTAATAACAATAGTGACAACAATAGTTCAACACAACAAATAACCACACCTGAGTTCACAAAATTTAAACTAACATAAATCACATAATTTTTAAGTTTTTAGCGGGTCGTTTCCTAATCTTCATCATAACTCTCTGAAGAGGGAGAAATGACAAACTAGTACAAGGAATAATATAATACTTAGTAGTTATTAAGAGAATGGAATTAGAAAATTGGAAAGAATTGTTGAACTGACTGTCTGCTCAGTTTTTCGCTCTATAGCATACATTTATATTAAAACGAGTCAAAAGTAAAGTAAGAAAGGTTAAGATATATAGTGGATATGCTAGCCAATGAAAAGTTGTCACGTAACCCAAGAGCGCTTGGATGAGATGGCTCTTGCTCTTCCAGCTTAACCAGTGGTCTCGTGTTCGAGCCCTGGGAATGCAGCAGTGTTAAAACTCTTGAGGGAGAGCTTTGCCGCCCTTATGGTCCTACCCGGCTCGATTCCGGATTAGTCGGTTCCCCTGTGGATCCGGAAACCGGAAGGTCCCTGTACCAAAAAAAAAAAAAAAACTGTCACGTAGAAATAAAACGATAGTTCAAAAAGCTACAATGCTGCACTATCGCTTTTGATTCGGAAGTCACAAATCAATCGACGGCACGTGCCCTACTATCGCGACAACTTCTCTGACACGCCATTTAGTGGCATGTCTTTTTATGAACAAGCAGTAATTGCACAAACACGCAATGCTTCGAAAACGGAGAGGGAAAACTGTCGGAGTTCCACATCAGTTCGGTAAAATACACTAAACACCACCTCAAGCGATAAATATTTTTTTATGTAGTTACCGATTGAACTCGACGCCCTGTATGTTAATATCCGAACTCATGAATATGACATTCCTCGCGCGACACATGTCCACCATGAAAAAACCGAACAAGAACACTGGACCAAAATCGAGAGGGATCCGTAAGCCAATCCAATGCACCGCAGGAGGTCGGTACAACACCATATATAATCACTTACCAAACATAGCATTTTACAAGTTGGGGAGCTAACAACCTGCAACTGCAAGTGGGATACAACTTTGCCTTCATAAATAAGGTCATTAGTGAGGACTGGACATTGGTAAGACAACTCATCTTTTGTAGAATCGAATAAAGCTTCAAATGCTGAGCAAACCAAGTGAATTAAATGATGCCTTCCCACACCAACGATTAAATACAAGACGTTTAGAGTATGCTTGGATACAAAATTATCTCAAAAAAATCCAAACATTTTTAACTCAACCACTTTTTTAACTCAATTTTAACTCAACCCCACTATCATCAATATTTTACTATAATTAAATAATATCAACCAATCATTTATACACATCACATCAACCTTAATTCACTATTCACCCACTCACATAATTTAACTAACCATCACTTCAAATCATCTTTCTCATACTTTTATATCAAACCAACTTTAATTATTATATTTTAAATATTATTTTAATATACCCACTAACAACTAACCATATAACCTTTTTCAAAATTAACCAAATCAAACCAAAAAATCCAAACAAATCCAAAAATTTTTATATCCAAGCATCCCCTTACTCGCTTATTTGTCGGCATGTGTCATTTAAACAAGTCGCTCTATGCGCAGAGATTCTCACCGTATTGACTTAGGAATTAAAGCCTTTTGTATTTTGATAAAAATAGTATACAAATTGTAATATCCCTCTCTATATATTAATTCAAAACATGTTGAGCCTAGGTGACAGATTCTCACGCTTCGGATACTAACATAGCGAAAATCTATATTTCGTGATGTTGTTTTTATATTATTTTTGCTCTGAAGTAGGTTTGATATTAGACATAAATAACCTTACATATATATTCATTACTTCAACACACATGTTGTACATGAGTATTAGTATTAGTACTAGGATATAGTATAAGATTGTACCTTTTTTTTCTTTCTCTCTCTTTTTTT